CAAGAGGAAGGCAAATTCCCACCGAGATAACTGGAAAGAAAAGCGAGGAGGTCCAAACCGGCGCTCCCTCTTCTGGAAACCGAACCTGCAAGAAATGTGGCAAGTACCATAGTGGTGAGTGCTTAGCCGACCAACGAACCTGTTTCAACTGCAACCGATCGGGTCACTATGCCAGTGTCTGTCCTGAGCCTAGGAGATAGCAGCAGTTCCCCTAGAAGCAGTAGCAGCAGCAACTTCCCCCACCGCCACCACATCAGCAGCAGCAGCAGCCCCCACAGTTCCAGCAGAGGGCTGGGGGTCTGGCCCAAGTCTATACCATCACCCACGATGAGGCCGCCCGCAATGCAAGTACCATGTCCGGAATGCTTTCGATATCCCATGTGCTTGTTTTTGCTTTATGTGATACCGGTGCTACCCATTCTTTTATTTTTTCTTGTTGCTTGGAGGCTTTATCTATTGGCACCGTGCATGCTTGTGATCCTCTCGAGGTTAGTTTAGCCTCGGGAAAAATTATTATCTCTGATTCAGTGGTTCGCAATCTTCCTATTTGTATCGGTGGTCGAGTTCTGGAGGCCGACGTTGATGTAATTAAAATGCGAGACTTTGACGTAATCTTGGGCATGGACTGGCTCACCCGCTATCGAGCCGATATACGGTGCCAGGAGCGCGAAGTCACCCTCTTTTCCGATTTCGATCAGCCTGTTGTGTTCTATGGGGTAAAGTCGAGGACTGTGCCTCGAGTCATCTCTTCTATACAAGCTAGGAAGAGCAATTCCAAGGGTAGCTGTCAGGGCTATCTGGTTTCCTTGGTATCCGACGTTGTTGATGAGCGGGTGCCCGAGAGAGTACCCATTGTTTGCGAGTACCGCGACGTCTTTCCTGATGATTTGCCCGGAGGACCGCCCGACCGCCAGGTGGAGTTCACCATTGACCTAATTCCAAGAGCAGGCCCAGTTTCTAAGGCCCCTTATCGTATGGTGCCGAAGGAGCTTCAAGAGCTCAAGGCCCAGATCCAGGAGTTGCTTAAGCTCGGTTTTATTCATCCAAGTGTCTCGCCGTGGGGTGCGACCGTCCTATTTGTGAAGAAGAAAGACAGATCGATGTGCATGTGCATTGACTATTGGGAGTTGAAGGCCCTTAGAGTCAAGAACAAGTACCCCTTTCCCCGTATTGAGGACCTTTTCGACCAGCTGAGAGGAGCCAGCGTCTTCTCAAAGATTGACCTGTGTTTTGGCTATCATCATCTGAAGATCCGGGAATCGGATATTTGCAAGACTGCTTTCCGTACCCGATATGGCCACTATGAGTTCGTAGTCATGCCGTTCGGACTCATCAACGCCCCGGCCATATTCATGGACCTTATGGATAGGGTCTTTCATCCTTTCCTGGACCAGTTCGTCATTGTGTTCATCGACGACATTCTGGTCTATTCCCGAGACATCGATCAGCACAAGGAGCATTTGAGGATTGTGCTGGAGACTCTTCGCCGCGAGAAGTTGTATGCTAAGTTCTCGAAGTGCGAGTTCTGGCTGAACCGTGTGGCATTCCTTGGCCACATTGTGACAGCTCGAGGCATTGAGGTGGATCCCAACAAGATTGAGGCGGTGAATAAGTGGGATGCGCCAAGAAGTGCTGCAGATGTTCGTAGTTTCCTGGGTTAGCAAGATACTATAGGAGGTTTATCGAGGGCTTCTCGAAGATAGCCCAGCCACTGACCAACCTTACGAAGAAAGCCGTGAGGTTTGATTGGAGTCCTCAGTGCGAGGAGAGTTTCCAGGAGTTGAAGAGGAGACTCACTAGCACGCCTGTCCTATCTATACTCGACCCTACTTTGGTATTCACCATCTATAGTGATGCTTCGAAGATGGGTTTGGGATGTGTCCTTATGCAGCAGGGGAAAGTCGTAGCCTATGCTTCGAGGCAGCTGAAGCCTCACGAGCAGAACTACCCCACTCATGATCTCGAGTTAGCTGCAATTGTCCACGCCTTGAAGATTTGGCGGCACTACCTCTATGGAGGCAAGTGTGAGATCTTTACCTACCACAAGAGCCTAAAGTACATTTTCACTCAGAAGGAGCTGAACATGAGGCAGCGTAGATGGTTGGAGCTGGTCAAGGACTACGACTGCACCATTAGCTATCATCTTCGGAAAGCTAATGTGGTAGCTGATGCCCTTAGTCGGAGGAGTTATGGCCAGCTATCTTGCTTGTTTACCGGGCAGGATGTCCTTCTTCGGGAGTTCGAGCGATTGCAGCTAGAGGCAGTGGAGTCGACTTCAGCAACCGGGGGCATGTTGGCCTCTTTGGTTGTGAGACCGACTCTTCAAGAGAGAACAGTCGCCTAGCAACCGAATGACCATTTCTTATGCCGGATGAGGGACTTGTCAGCAGCCGGTAGAGTTGGTGGATTCGCAGTCGCATCTGATGGGGCCTTGGTCTTCGAGGGTAGACTTTGTGTTCCGAAGGTGTGGAAACTACAGAGAGAGATTATGAGAGAGGCCCATAGTGCTCCGTACACCATCCATCCTGGTAGCACGAAGATGTAAAGGACTTGAGGAAGTCTTTCTGGTGGCGTGGCATGAAGAGGCAGATAGCGAAGTTCGCGGATGGGTGCCTGGTGTGTCAGCAAGTGTAGGCTGAGCACCAGAAACCGAGAGGATTGTTGCAGCCACTTGAGGTTCCCATGTGGACGTGGGAGTGAATCACCATGGATTTCTTGATTGGACTGCCAAGGTCGAGGGCCGGGCATGATTCGATTTGGGTGATAGTGGACCGCCTTACGAAGTCTGCCCATTTTCGGCCAGTCCGGACGACTATGAAGGCGAGTTATTACGCCGAATTGTTCGTCAAGGACATTGTTAAGCTTCATGGAGTGCCTGTGGAGATTGTTTCTGATCGAGATCTCAAGTTCACATGTCAGTTCTGGAGGACGTTGCATCGAGCCATGGGGAAGAGGTTGGAGTTCAGTACAACCTTTCACCCCGAGACAGATGGTCAGTCGGAGCGTACGATCCAGTATTTGGAGGATATCTTGAGGGTTGTGGTCTTGGACCGGAGCCTGAATTTGGAGTATGCCCTTCTGCTAGTCGAGCTGACCTACAACAACAACTACCACTCTTAGATCAAGATGGCCCCGTACGAGGCTTTGTACGGACGTAAGGTCTGGACTCCTTGTATTGGGATGAGGTTGGAGAGAGGAGAATTACGGGCCCGAATTTTGTCCAAAGTACTGCTGCGACAGTTGAGGATATTCGGAGGACTATCAGGTCTGCCCAGGAGAGGCAGAAGGTCTATACCGACCGGAAGAGGCAGGAGCATGTTTATGCTGTGGGAGATCACGTCTTCTTGAAGGTTTCACCCATGAGAGGTGTGATTCGCTTCGGGAAGAAGGGGAAGCTTAGACCTCGCTATATCGGGCCGTTTGAGATCCTCGATCGAGTCGGGAACTTAGCGTATCGGCTGGCTTTACCACCAGACTTGTCGGGAGTGCACGACGTGTTTCATGTCTTGATGCTTTGGAGATATGTGCATAACCCCGATCATGTGGTGGACTTCGGCGAGCTGCAGGTCGAGCGAGACCTTACCTACGAGGAGGTACCGTCAGTCATTTTGGACAGGAAGGTCCACCAGCTGAGGAACCGGGCAGTAAGCTTAGTGAAGGTGCAGTGGAGCCGACACGATGAGACCGAGGCGACTTGGGAGAGGCAAGACGATATTATGATGCGTTATCCGAACTTTATGTTTTGAGTTCCCCTTTGTATATTTATTCTTAGTGCTTTCTAGTTGTTTTGTTTTCGAACTCCGAGGATGGAATTCTTTTAAGGTGGGTAGACTGTAGCGCCCCGTTCGACTATTAGATTTTTCCGATTTAATTTTGAATAATGGCTTTTATTTTTATTTTTCTAAATGCCTTCATGATGTGGCTACATATTATATTATTGAATGAATAATATAATCTTACGAGTCGTTCGATTTATTTTACCGATCACCATTTGTATTTTCGATTTAATCGCTAAACTGAAATGTTATCCGTTTTAATTCGTTTTCGAGACGTTTAAATCCGAAGCTCAAACACTATCTTGTCAACCCAATTGATGAACAATATTGGTCCATATTCGTGGGTTCAAGTAGAGATTAAGTGAGCATTAAGCTTAGTAAATGCTTAATCAAGAGTTAAGCATGATTATCAAATTTTAATGTTAAGTATGGGCTAGCATGGGCATTACCTTACTTTATTCAATTGTAGTAAGACCTTGTCTCCTAACCCATTTGATGCTTCGTTCACACCTTATTCAGCTCCTTTAGTTCTCATTTTCTTTTTATTAATCCAAGTTATGCAAAAATCTTGGCCACATTGGAAATGAAGTTATTCCACCTTGGTCTTCCACCATGTCCCCCACCATGCTCCCTCAAAGTTTGACCCACTTTGGAGATGTATTAAAGTTCTATTCTTAGCTGATCAAGCCTTCATTTCTTCCTTAGTATTCAGCAAATAAACCTCCCCAAACATCCAAGAAAAATAGAAAAAAAAAACCGAGACCAAAGTTTTATTGCTACCGAGAGCATCTTTGAACACCTTGCGGTTGTTCCAAGTTCTAGCCATTCAACCAAGAGAGAAGCTTCAATTTAGCTCTTATTCCTCTCCTAACCTCCACCAAAGAAGGCTTTAGCAGCATCCTTAGCCAAGGAATCAAGAAGAATCCGGGTTGTAGTCTCAAGCAAAACCACAAGCCATGCATAGTTAGAACTGAGCTTTCTTTGCTTTTTCTTGAAGTTTTGAAGAAGTTGGTGTTCTTTCCTTTTATAAGATGTTTAGTGGATGAGATAATGTGCTCATTTATGTATTTTGTTACTTTGGAGTTTCAGTTTTAAATTAATTTTGAATATGCAATAAGTTAAGCTCCACCCGCTTTGCATGCATAATTTGTATGTGTTGTTTCACTTTGTTTTTGAGAATGTTGTGAGTAACATGGTAATGTTAGAATTATATGGCTATTTTTTGTGTTAGAGAGGTGTTCATAGGATCAAGAATCAAGTCTTTTAGCCTAGTATAACTCGAGTTATTGATTTTTAAAGTTAGGCATACAAATTGAACTTTACATGCGCGAATTAAGCTGCAACTTCAAACGCGAATAACTCGAGTTCTACTTAGGATAAAATTATAAAATTTTATAAAAATGTTTATATATGAGTTATGAGTCTGCATACCAAGTTTCATGATTTTATCTTAAGAATTGAGTGAGTTATGATTTTTACAAAAATGTTGTGCGTACAGTTTTTAAGAAAACCCGGCAGCATGTTAGGTTAGATGATTAACCCGGTTGCTGTGTCGTAATATGCTCAAACTGAAATGTATTCCTCATGAATTTTGTAGTGCTTTGAGTTAGGTCTCTGTTAGTTTTGGAATTTGGTGATTCGGAGTTGAATTGAATTTATTATGAATTTTTTAAGTTGAAACTGCAATCAGTTATTGAAATTCCGGGCAGAATTGAGAATCATGATGTTGGGTTGTTTTTGACAATCTTAATGTGACTATGTGAAAATATGATCAACATGAAAGTTGTGTATATATGTGTTAGCTTCTTGTTCGTTTTCGAATCACTTGAATAGCATACTTGTAGCTCATGTTACCTTGGAAATATTGAGACCATGCGAGTTGTTCATTCCCATTTTTGGTCTACAATTATGTTATGTGTTATTGTTGAAGTATGTGGCTAATTTATATAACACATGAGTGTAGTTAAGTGATCGTTTGTTAGATAGGCTTTCATAGGACTATTTTGTATAATGTAGGTGTGTGACGAGCTGTGTCTCGACCTACCTTTTTCCTCGAATTTCTGTGATTTCATCCTCCGGATACCAGGTGGGTCTTATTTAAATCGTCTATGCCATGAATTATAAGTGTTTATTATTGTGAGTATGATCTATGCATGAACATGAAATATGTAACCTATCGATATGAGCTGTTACGGCCGTCGGTACGGTTATCCCCGTCGATGTAATACGGTTGCCCTTGTGAGGCAAGTCTCCTTAAGTCCTGATATGGTCGTGCCCTTGTGAGGTACGTAAGCCCATATGGAAGGCCGTGTCCGTAGCGTGGCATGTACTCCCGCCTTCGGGTAATGAAACCCCATTCTGCGGCTAGCGATAGATGTGCACAGAAGTAATGTGGTTGTTGTGATCTTGATAGGAGACGAGATATGATATGATTATTTTATTTTCATGCTGCGACCATACTATTTTGACATGTCATAATTTATGTGCATAGTAGTGAGCACTACGTTCATTTTATGCTCACTCCCACCTGCTCTTCACGGATGCAGGTTAAGCAGGTGCCGGATGACGGGGGAAGACGAGTGGGTCGGTCTTTGATTTATGCTTTATGATTATGCTTCCGCTATTGAATAATGTGTGGTCCTTGTGATTCTCTTTTGGTTGAGACGTGGTGAATCGTTTTAAAAACTTTATCTTTTTTGGATTATTGGACCAATGTTTCGTTTGGATATTCGTATTGGAATTATTTCTTGAATATCATGTGTTCTATTATGCATGCTATGATGTTTAGCTAATAATCATGTGAAATTCAAGTTTTAAGGGTTAATGAAAACCATGTGAACAACCAGATATGACTTGGTTGATGTTAAATGTGTGAATAACGCCCATGTTTTCGAAAACGAGTTCGAAAAATTATTTATTGATTTTGGAAAGTCCGGAATTTCTCTAAAATCAAAGTGGGGTGTTACAGTTTGGTATCAGAGCCAGTCTGCGTTTCTGTAGACTGGTTTATATGTGATTATGTGCTTAGACCTTATAAAATGACCACTCGTCTCCTTCACTCTGCGCTGCTTAAGGTATGTTGATTTAAGTATTAATGAAAATATGTGATATGTAAATGATACACATGTGGCAATGAAACTACTTGTGTTGAACTTGTGATTTGGGGCTTAGGATCTACCCACCTTGATTTAATCGAACTCTAGTGTTTAAAGTCGAACTCTAGACTTCTGTAATCATGATTATTTTGTTTTATTTTGTGCTAAACCTCGTTCGGCTTATCCAATGTAGAGTAATGAATACACGCAACAACCGTAACCGTCAGCCATCCCTATCTCCTTCTCCGCCTCATCGTCATCACCAGGCCCCTCCGGCCATGGATCTTACCCATCTCATAGTCCAGTTTCAGAGAATGAATGCACCGACTATCGCGGGGACTGAGAACCCCACAGCAGTACTGGAGTGGATCAAGGAGCTGGATAAGATTTTCGCTGTGCACCCCCTCCCAGACCGACAACGAGTATCTCTTGCAGCTTATCAGATGAAGGAGGACGCTTCTGAATAGTGGATTGACCACTGGGCCCCGAGGCCAGAGGCGGAGCTTCATGCTCTCACTTGGGAGCAGATGAAGATGATGGTGCGTGGCAAGTTCCTTCCCCAGAGCTTTTGGGATAGGATGGAGCATGAGTTCTACCATTTGCATCAGGGCAGCTCCACTGTGGACGAGTATATTCGCACTTTCACCCGAATGTGCCTTTTTGCAGGCGTCTCGGTGAATACCGATGCCAAGAAGGCCCGCAAGTTTCTCAAGGGGCTTAATCAGAGGATCCGTGAACTGGTGGGGAGTCACGGACTGATGTCTTTCACCGACACTGTGAGTCGGGCTCAGGAGGTGGAGAGCTATCTCATCCCGATAGCTCCGGTCCCTTCATATTATCATGCCTCCCAGCCTTCTCAAATCGTTGTTCAGCACTCTCAGCCCATCTCACCAGTGCCGCCCGGCTCTAGTTCGGGCAAGAAGAAGGTAGATTCCCACCGAGATAACTGGAAGGGAAAGCGAGGAGGTCCAGACCGGCGCAATCATCCCTCTTCTGGAAACCGAACCTGCAAGAAATGTGGCAAGTACCATAGTGGCGAGTGCTTAGCCGACCAACGAACCTGTTTCAACTGCAACCGATCGGGTCACTATGCCAGTGTCTGTCCTGAGCCCAAGAGGCAGCAGCAGTACCCCTAGAAGTAGAAGCAGTAACAGTAGCAGCTTCCCCCACCGCCACCACATCAGCAGCAGCAGCAGCCCCCACCGTTCCAGCAGAGGACTGGGGGTCAGGCCCGAGTCTATACCATCAGCCACGATGAGGCTGCCCGCAATGCAGGTACCATGTCCGGAATGCTTTCGATATATATATGTGCTTGTTTTGCTTTATGTGATACCGATGCTACCCATTCTTTTATTTCTTCTCGTTGCTTGAAGGCTTTATCTATTGGCACCGTGCATGATTGTGATCCTCTCGAGGTTAGTTTAGCCTCGGGAAAAATTATTATTTCTGATTCAGTGGTTCGCAATCTTCCTATCTGTATCGGTGGTCGAGTTCTGGAGGCCGACGTCTATGTAATTAAAATGCGAGACTTTGACGTAATCTTAGGCATGGACTGGCTCACCCGCTATCGAGCTGATATCCGGTGCCAGGAGCGCGAAGTCACCCTCTTTCCCGATTTCGATCAGCCTGTTGTGTTCTATGGGGTGAAGTCGAGGACTGTGCCTCGAGTCATCTCTTCTATGCAAGCTAGGAAGAGCATTTCTAAGGGTAGCTGTCAGGGCTATCTTGTTTCCTTGGTATCCGATGTTGTTGATGAGCGGGTGCCGGAGAGAGTATCCATTGTTTGCGAGTACCTCGACGTCTTTCCTGATGATTTGCCCGGAGGACCGCCCGACCGCCAGGTGGAGTTCACCATTGACCTAATTCCAGGAGCATGCCCCGTTTCTAAGGCCCCTTATCGTATGGCGCCGAAGGAGCTTCAAGAGCTCAAGGCCCAGATCTAGGAGTTGCTTAAGCTCGGTTTTATTCGTGCGAGTGTCTCGCCGTGGGGTGAGCCCGTCCTATTTGTGAAGAAGAAAGACGGATCGATGCGCATGTGCATTGACTATTGGGAGTTGAATGCCCTTACAGTCAAGAACATGTACCCCCTTCCCCGTATTGAGGACCTTTTCGACCATCTAAGAGGAGCCAGCGTCTTCTCAAAGATTGACCTGTGTTCTGGCTATCATCACCTGAAGATCCGGGAGTCGGATATTTCCAAGACTGCTTTCCGTACCCGATATGGCCACTATTAGTTCGTAGTCATGTCGTTCGGACTCAGCAACGCCCCGACCGTATTCATTGACCTTATAGATAGGGTCTTTCATTCTTTCCTGGACCAGTTTGTCGTTGTGTTCATCGACGACATTCTGGTCTATTCCCGAGACATCGATCAGCACAAGGAGCATTTGAGGATTGTGCTGGAGACTCTTCACCGCGAGAAGTTGTATGCTAAGTTCTCGAAGTGCGAGTTCTGGCTGAACCGTGTGGCATTCCTTGGCCACATTGTGACAGCTCGAGGCATTGAGGTGGATCCCAGCAAGATTGAGGCGGTGAGTAAGTGGGATACGCCAAGAAGTGCTGCAGATGTTTGTAGTTTTCTGGGGTTAGCAGGATACTATAGGAGGTTTATCGAGGGCTTCTCGAAGATAGCCCAGCCACTGACCAACCTTATGAAGAAAGCCGTGAGGTTTTATTGGAGTCCTCAGTGCGAGGAGAGTTTCCAGGAGTTGAAGAGGAGACTTACTACCGCGCTTGTCCTATCTATACCCGACCCTACTTTGGAGTTCACCATCTATAGTGATGCTTCGAAGATGGGTTTGGGATGTGTCCTTATGCAGCAGGGGAAGTCGTAGCCTATGCTTCGAGGCAGCTGAAGCCTCACGAGCAGAACTACCCCACTCATGATCTCGAGTTAGCTGCAGTTGTCCACGCCTTGAAGATTTGGCGGCACTACCTCTATGGAGGCAAGCGTGAGATCTTTACCGACCACAAAAGCCTAAAGTATATTTTCACTCAGAAGGAGCTGAACATGAGGCAGCGTAGATGGTTGGAGCTGGTCAAGGACTACGACTGCACCATTAGCTATCATCCTGGGAAAGCTAATGTGGTAGCCGATGCCCTTAGTCGGAGGAGTTATGGCCAACTATCTTGCTTGTTTACTGGGCAGGATGTCCTTCTTCGGGAGTTCGAGCGATTGCAGCTAGAGGCAGTGGAGTCGACTTCAGCAGCCGGGGGCATGTTGGCCTCTTTGGTTGTGGGACTGACTATTCGAGAGAGAATAGTCGCCTAGCAACCGAATGACCGTTTCTTATGCCGGATGAGGGAGTTTTCAGCAGCCGGTAGATTTGGTGGATTCGCAGTCGCATCTGATGGGGCCTTGGTCTTCGAGGGTAGACTTTGTGTTCCGAAGGTGTGGGACCTGCATAGAGAGATTATGAGAGAGGCCCATAGTGCTCCGTACACCATCCATCCTGGTAGCACGAAGATGTATCAGGACTTGAGGAAGTCTTTCTGGTGGCGTGGCATGAAGAGGAAGATAGCAAAGTTCGTGGATGGGTGCCTGGTGTGTCAACAAGTGAAGGCTGAGCACCAGAAACCGAGAGGGTTGTTGCAGCCACTTGAGGTTCCCCTGTGGAAGTGGGAGTGCATCACCATGGATTTATTGATTGGACTGACGAGGTCGAGGGCCGTGCATGATTCGATTTGGGTGATAGTGGATCACTTTTTGAAGTCTGCCCATTTTCTGCCAGTCCGGACGACTATGAAGGCGAGTGATTATGCCGAATTGTTCGTCAAGGACATTGTTAAGCTTCATCGAGTGCCCGTGGAGATTGTTTCTGATCGAGATCCCAAGTTCACATGTCAATTCTGGAGGACGTTGCATCGAGCCATGGGGACGAGGTTGGAGTTCAGTACATCCTTTCACCCCGAGACAGATGGTCAGTTGGAGCGTACAATCCAGTACTTGGAGGATATCTTGAGGGCTGGGTCTTGGACCGGAGCCTGACTTGGGAGTATGCCCTTCCGCTAGTCGAGCTGACCTACAACAACAGCTACCACTCTTAGATCAAGATGGCCCCGTACGAGGCTTTATACGGACGTAAGGTCCGAACTCCTTTGTATTGGAATGAGGTTGGAGAGAGGAGAATTACGAGCCCGGATTTTGTCCAAAGTACTACTGCGACAGTTGAGGAGATTCGGAGGACTATCAGGTCTGCCCAGGAGAGGCAGAAGGTCTATACCGACCGGAAGAGGCAGGAACATGTTAAAGCTGTGGGAGATCACGTCTTCTTGAAGGTTTCACCCATGAGAGGTGTGATTCGCTTCGGGAAGAAGGGGAAGCTTAGACCTCGCTATATCGGGCCGTTTGAGATCCTCGATTGAGTCGGAAACTTAGCGTATCAGCTGGCTTTACCACCAGACTTGTCGGTAGCGCACGACGTGTTTCATGTCTCGATGCTTTGGAGATATGTGCAGAACCCCGATCATGTGGTGGACTTCGGCGAGCTGCAGGTCGAGCGAGACCTTACCTACGAGGAGGTACCGACAGTCATTTTGGACCGGAAGGTCCACCAGCTGAGGAACCGGGCAGTAAGCTTAGTGAAGGTGCAGTGGAGCCGACACGATGAGACCGAGGAGACTTGGGAGAGGGAAGACGATATTAGGATGCGTTATCTGAACTTTATGTTTTGAGTTCCCCTTTGTATATTTATTCTTAGTGCTTTCTAGTTGATTTGTTTTCGAATTCTGAGGACAGAATTCCTTTAAGGTGGGTAGACTGTAGCGCCCCGTTCGACTGTTAGATTTTTTCGATTTAATTTTGAATAATGGCGTTTTATTTTTATTTTTCAAAATGCCTTCATGATGTGGCTACATATTATATTATTGAATGAATAATATAATCTTACGATTCGTTCGATTTATTTTACCGATCACCATTTGTATTTTCGATTTAATTGCTAAACTGAAATGTTATCCGTTTTAATTCGTATTCGAGACGTTTAAATCCGAAGCTCAAACACTATCTTGTCAACCCAATTGATGAACAATATCGGTCCATATTCGTGGGTTCAAGTAGAGATTAAGTGAGCATTAAGCTTAGTAAATGCTTAATCAAGAGTTAAGCATGATTATCAAATTTTAATGTTAAGTATGGGCTAGCGTGAGCATTACCTTACTTTATTCAATTGTAGTAAGACCTTGTCTCCTAACCCATTTAATGCTTCGTTCACACCTTATTCAGCCCCTTTAGTGCTCATTTTCTTTTTATTAATCCAAGTTATGAATGAATCTTGGCCACATTGGAAATGAAGTTATTCCACCTTGGTCTTCCACCATGTCCCCCACCATGCTCCCTCAAAGTTTGACCCACTTTGGAGATGTATTAAAGTTCTATTCTTAGCTGATCAAGCCTTCATTTCTTCCTTAGTATTCAGCAAAGAAACCTCCCCAAACATCCAAGAAAAATAGAGAAAAAAGAACCGAGACCAAAGTTTTATTGCTACCGAGAGCATCTTTGAACACCTTGCGGTTGTTCCAAGTTCTAGCAATTAAACCAAGAGAGAAGCTTCATTTTAGCTCTTATTCCTCTCCTAACCTCCCCCAAAGAAGGCTTTAGCAACATCCTTAGCCAAGGAATCAAGAAGAATCCAGGTTGTAGTCTCAAGCAAAACCACAAGCCATGCATAGTTAGAACTGAGCTTTCTTTGCTTTTTCTTGAAGTTTTGAAGAGGTTGGTGTTCTTCCCTTTTATAACATGTTTAGTGGATGAGATAATGGGCTCATTTATGTATTTTTTTACTTTGGAGTTTCAGTTTTAAATTAATTTTGAATATGCAATAAGTTAAGCTCCACCCGCTTTGCATGCATAATTTGTATGTGTTGTTTCACTTTGTTTTTGAAAATGTTGTGCGTAACATGGTAATGTTAGCATTATATGGCTATTTCTTGTGTTAAAGAGGTGTTCATAGGATCAAGAATCAAGTCTTTTAGCCTATATAACTCGAGTTATTGATTTTTAAAGTTAGGCATCCAAACTGAACTTTACATGCGCGAATTCAACTGCAACTTCAAACGCGAATAACTCAAGTTCTACTTAGGATAAAATTATAAAATTTTATCAACATTTTTATATATGAGTTATGA